GAACGATGCAAGAACAAGGCAAATGCTTGCAGACTTTTCTCCAGCAAACTAAGCCAGCCGATGTCTCAACTTGCAAAGCATCCCAAGGACAAGAGCTGCAATGCTAATTTCTTCATTATATGGAAAAAATAAGTAGCAAACCCTGCTCTTTTTTTCATACATGGCACCCAGTTATTTCCCACCTGCATCCTAGTAAGTGAAAATGGGAAAGCTCCATATTTTAGTTGCCTTACCATCCAATCTTCTATGTACTTGTCATATACCTTTATTCCTGACAGCTCTTTTTGTAAGTGAAGATTTCATTTCTTCACATAAAAAATCTGCTACATCCCTTTCATCATCACTTTTATCCTTCCCTGTGCTTCTGCTATATCTGCTAAAACCTTCGAGAGATATGTAGAATTACCACAGCTATATACTCTAACGTAATGATATTTGTTGATTTATTTCCCATTTCTCATTTTTAAATCTGCTTCACTAGACACAAGTCTGCAAGTGCTGACAATCAACCTCATATTCAAAGCAAACTCTTGATGTAAACGTCAAGGTTTGCAACCTCAAGACAGCAATTTCTAAGCTGAGTTGGCCAAACAATCAGCAGCAAACTACTTATTTGAAGCTAGTTCTTCCTCATGTCTACCTGCTCAGCACTATCAGAAAATAACTGATGATATTCATTAAACATATTCTTCACCTGAAATACCTCACATAAGCAATTGTTTTAATTACTAAAGAGATGAAAAGTAATTACAGAAGAAAATTTTGCAAATTCAGTCTAGACAAGAAATACCCATGGGGAAGTCATCATTATAACATCATTCACGTGTTGCAAAAGTCAGTTGAGGAATCCTTGGTGTTGTTGGCTCTCCTCTTTCTAAGCCCTTGCTAGATACATGAGGCACAGCCAGATGACCAAGCACCTTCTCTATCTTGCTTCTGAACATGACACATATGGGCCCCCCACCACAAATGTGTCTTCTTTGAGAAATCAAAGTGAATATCCCTTTATGGTATAGCAGATGAGTTAAAATACGTTTCAGTACAGCACATCAAGAAGCAGAGACATGATGCTCTGTAATCAAATAATGCTTTATACTGGTTCATGACAACGTAACTCCGAGGCGACAGCACCTGCCATTTTCAGGCAAAGTAATTTACATAAACTTATTCCTCTACTTCTATACCTCCAGCTGCATTCCATAATTTATACAGACATACAAATTCTTCCCTCTGACATTAACAAGAGAAACAAGTTGAATAATCAGCTTGCAGTAGTAAGTGCATTGCATTTACTATCAAGCAAGCTTTTTTAGTTCAGCAGATGATTAATCTTCCCTCTGCGGGTAGAGTACCAAGAGACGCAGAGAGCTGACAATTGCTCTCGGCTTCTGGCCATGCTCTCCACACGCTTACCTTGCAACAACAGCATTTGCTGGATCCCTCCAAGAGCTGCTCTAATTCATTAACCCAGCAAAAGAATTGGACAGCTTTCTGCCAGGTCAGTGAATTAAAGTGGCTCACGTAAGGAATGCCAGAGACAGTAAATAGGAGTGGGAGTTTGCACTTGGAGCCAGATCTCTCCTTTCTGACAGCAGCGAATCTCTTAGATCAGCTCAGCTGCCAGAGATACTGCAGCCTAATTAGCATCTCCCCTTGCAGCTAACTGTGCTGGGTGTTTCCATTAGGGATAAGAGCACTAAGGTAAACGAAGAAGGGGGAAGGGGGAAGAAACCAGGCAGCCCAGCACCATAAGTGAAATGCTGAGCGTCAACTGTTTAACAGAAGGGCTGCAACAGGCAGACCAAGTAGGCCAAATAAGGTCCTGTACCTCAGCCTATTTTTAATTCAGGTCTTTCAGCTGTGCTTTGGGACAGTATCAAGAGAAAGGACAGATGCATGGGCATGAAGACCAAGAGGTATTCCACATGCCAGGCAAAAAACAAAGCCCACAGATGAGACTTGAGCCTAAAATAGAGATTCCAAAATATGACGCTGTTTGTATTACACCAACTACTGTGCCAATTTTGTTTCCATGCCCCAGTCCTGAGACTGAATGCTTTCCACTACATTCAGACCTCCATAACCAAGCTCATTCTCAGCTCATGACACCAACCAGTCATTCCCCTTTGATCAGGGTTTTAGACTGCGTAGAAAGGCATGGACTTCCAATTCGCAAAGTTTATTTTACTTAAGTTCACTGCTGATCTTTGACCTCAGGCTCCCAGACCACTGTCTATTCCCTAAGACACTACTACTAATCTCAAATCATTCTAGCTAAACAGCCAAGTTTCTATGAAAAGGTGCTCCCAGCCTGTATCTTAAGGACCCTGTTACAGCCACATTACATTGCTGGTAACATTCTACCAACAAAATCAAACCCTCTATTAGCGGCCTTTAAAGTACCCCCATGTTCTTTGTAACTTTTGCAATTACACTAAAGGCTATCAGCCTGAAAAACAGGAAAGGTCTGTATCTGACCACACCTTTTGCTATCTCTTTCTGTCCTGCCAACACAACCAATCACAGGCCTTGCTCTTAAAAGAAAGCAGGGAACTTATCTGTCCAGCTGAAGGAATTTCTGAATCATCCCATGGGAGCATAGGCTTCAAGTCAGCAGCTAAAAGATCCCCTGGCTGTTGAGTCTGGGGTATCACCCTCACACAAGTGACAGCAGCTGTGCTTGTCAGTTACAATAATGGGAGGGAAGGCTCATGCCTCACCTGTGATGGCTTTTTGCTCTATTAAAGTTAGCACTGTTGTTTGAGCAAGATGGTAAAATGGTTAAAGGAGAAGATGCCTTAAAGCATAACAGTCTAGTCCACATGGACTGAACATATGTGTCAAACAAGTAATAGCCAACACACGGGATGGACAAAATGCTTAACATTAGCTGTAGATGTTTAGGATGAAATAACCAACCTGTTCTGTTGTATTTTAACAGCATTCTTTAACTTGAGTAACTACTGAGCCTTCTTGCTTCCCCTAGGTCCTACATCATTAATCAGCATACCGAGGAGAAGAAAAGTTACAAGAAATTACACCCTAAGGCAGCCTACAGAATCAAAATAACTTCATAGAGGAGTCCTAGACAGAAAGATAAAGAGACCTGGAAGATCCAAGTGGATGTGAACGTCTGGCGTGTGAAAAGCCCCTGGTTGAAGCAATTTACCCCTGCTCCCACAGGTTTCTTCATGTGCCACCATCTGGGATCCTCTGGGTTTGATCAGTCCCAGGCATAGCAGCCACAGCAACACCCTTGTGTGTGCCCTTAGCCTTTCCCAGCCAGCTATGGCCTTAAGCCTGACTCTGCATGCTCAGCTTGCAGGTCTTTAACCACATCAAACAGTCATTCCAGACGTGCACACCTGTTTCCAACAGCCAGTACAAGTGCTATGTGTTATTCAGCCTGTTTCTTGGATAACCCCCTGCCAGTCAGGCTCCTTCCACAGACTCCTGGCAACACCACTGCCTGCCAGCAGTCTCCCAGCAACACTCCCTCCCACACAGATGGGCTCCCAGTCCCTCCTCACAGGCTAGCCACAGGCTGTGGGCTCCTTGGAGCCAGCATCAGTTGATGAAACACAGAGCTTGGCCCTGCAGAGGCATGGAGATGGCTCCTAATATGGAAGAGAAGCAGGAAGGCTGGCAAGAGCTTACATCCAAGGTCAAGGCTAACATCATTTCCATTAAAAAGAAATGCTCTTAAGCTCTGGACAAGGATGGGAACAGAAAAAAACACATGGGGAAAGCCACTGCCCTGTTTTTTATTCCCTGTTTCCAGCTCCCTCATCCAACTGGCAGTGCCTGAGGTAGCTGTTTGCTGGAGATGGGCAACCCAAGTCTTATGTGTTGGAATGGTATCAGACAATCTGGTCCTAAAATGATGACTTGCATTTCTGCACATTACATCAGCTCTTAGTTTTATTTCCTGTGTGGTCTTTCCTTATCTACTTTTTTTTTTTTTTTGCCAAGTAAGGCACCCTAAGTTCCTTTTGCACACTACCCATGTGCCTTACAGAGTGTGTACTTTTTCTTTTTCAAGACGCCAAAGTTGTGGCATTCCCAGGAAGAAATCCAAGGTATCTTACCGAAGTCATGACCAATGGCGCCAACCATGCAGCCACTGCCCACTGCAGAAGGAGCAGAAGCACACATCAGGAACCATGAGCTTTCGAGCCAGCACCATCAGTTCCTCCAACTGCTGGCACTGAATTCATTCAGTACTTACCAGGGGGAAAAAAATAATCTCTACAACCCAAACACCAACTACAAGTAAAACTGAAAGTATTAACAGATTAAATCCGCCCCTGAGCGCTGAAGGCTCTCACCATAAGGCTCTTTATTAGGAAGTTAAGTCTTAACAAGTGGCTTAAGGGGTGGATAAAGCTTTTCCTGGGATAATCTGCCAGCATGTTGCCCAGTGCCAGTTCCAAGCCATAGAAAGAAGAAAGAAAATATGTAAGATGATGAAAATCTTGGTTTGGCAAATGGATGACCAGTAACTGAGAGCTCATCTCCTATCGTTGCTCCCTGAAGCTCCCTGCTGTCTTCAGAAAGTCAAAGAAAACTAATTTTCTACTCTGTTAGCTTCCTGAAAACACAACCACATTGGGATTACACCTAAAATGCATGTGCTCACCCTAATTCTTTGTACTGTCAACTCTCCAGAATTTGCCTCCATCACATCTATTTGAACCATCCGCCAATTAACACGAAGTAATTAACACTTTTCTAAGAGACTGTCTTTGGACAACGCCACCATGGTAAAACCATCATGATCATGATTTCAAGTACTACTGCTCTCTGCAGGCACCAATTTACAAGGGGAGCATGCAAAAGGGGAAACCCAGTAATGGAAGATCAGAAGCCACATTTTATTTATAATTCTCTCCTTTCAAGTCTACTGCTGGTTTGCTGCACACTTGAGAAACAGCAATCTAATCAGCAGCTGTTTTTCCCAAAGCATTGTGCCGCTCTGGCTGGGCACCCTGTGCACTTACTGCAAGAGATCCGTTCTGCGTGCTGGCCGTGTTCGTGCTCTGCTCTCCATGCGGCTGCGTGCTTCCGTAGAGTGTCAGATTGTGCTCGCTGGTCTGGCCTGCATAGTCCTGAGTGTGTGGCACCCCATACTCTGTGGGAATCCCATTCTGTGGGGGTGGCGGAAATGGGATTGTGGTGAATGGCTGCACCATTGCATCAGGAGTTGCTGATGGCTCCTGGTTACCCTTAAGAAAGGAAAAAGAAGAAAAAGCTTTATACTACAGAAGATGGATCAAAACATCAGCCTGAGAAATAACACACACGTTCATGTGAATATCCCACCCACCGTCACCATAGTATTCCACAGTCTTCTATTATCTCTCCTATCGAAAAGCACATGCCTTGCTCCTCTGAGCCATGACACTGTTTTCTTAATCTTTTCAGGGCAATTTTCTTGCTACTGGGTGGCATATAGCGAACAAATTACAGGGTTTGCAGATTGCATACCCCTTTGATCTCACACAAAGCTTTACACACACTAAGGTATTATTTCAGAAGAGGAAAGAGGCACTCACACATTGGAACAGAGAAGGAAAACACAGAAGAACAGGGTTTCTCAACTTCCCTAAAAATACCATAACTGGGTCCATCTCCTCCAGCCTGACCCTCATCTCTCACAAGCAACCCCACAAGCAAGCACATCATATGGTTCAGAGCACACCTCTCTGTTACGTTACAGTGATAAGAAGTACAGTTTTTAAAATCCATCTGTGCAGAAGCCCCCGCCTTTGCCCCGACAGCACTGCGTACACAGCACAGGTATCTGCTGCTAGAACATCCCATTTGCTTCTTGCTGGCCATGCAGGAGACACCCAAGAGCTGTAGGGAAACAAGCTGAGATCACAAGCCAGCCGCACTGTCACTCTTTCCCAATCCTGAGCATCTCTACAATCACGCAAGGCATTAATTACCCACTCCTGCCTGAGCTTAGGGTATCCCACAGAGACCTCTTGCATAGTGGACTTCTTAGAAGCTTTTAGCACTGTCTTAGATGTAGCTAACACCAATCAGATGACTCAGAAACAAAGAACTGACCATGCAAAAGATATCCCCAGAAGACAATAAAACTGCTACCCCACCATGTCAGAAAACCACAAGAAGGAAACAAAAAACCATGCAGCCTTATAGCCTCTGCAGGGATCTCACCAAGGAGGGAGCTGCATTCAGCCACTCGGGGTGAAGGAGAACAGCCTTGACATTGAAGCCCAACCCTGGGAAGCCCAGGCTGCTGCACCGCTCCTACTGCTTTCACCGCCGCAGCAGAAAAAAATCCACAGAAAAGATTTATGATAGGAGGGCTGTTTGATTTATGTGCATGTCAACAGACTAATCCTGATTTTAAATTTTGGCTGCTGTTCCAGCCCTGGGTCCTCCCCCACAAAGCCTGGAGGTGCTCGAGGCTATTCTGACACCAGCATGCTCAAATCAATGGAGTAAAAGCGAAACAGACCTTATCCCGTGGATAGGAAAGGCAGAGTGGGAATTACCAAGCAGCCTTTCAGCAGAGAGCATGCAGGGGCTGACAGACCTCCAAAGAAGCCGGACAAACCTTTCAGTCCCTTTATCAGCCTACCTGCAGCTTTCCCTTCCGGGCGGAGGAAACAATGATAAACGCAGTGCACCTCTAGCCAGAGCCAGCACCAGGTCATTCAGACACTGGCTGAATCCCAAATTTGCTCTGACATTAGTCTATCTGGTCTGCCTCCCCTGGGGGCCACGTGGCCACGCGCTCCTGCAGCTGGGGAGAAGGAGAGGGAAGGGCATTCAATACCACTTAGCAGAGCCGAGCTGCAGCCTTGGCCCGTGCTGAAGAACGGACGGTTTCAAGTCCAGCCTTGCCGCCTGCAGGAACACAAACTCCGCAGTCTTATCTGAGAAAGAAGAATTCAGGCGAGCATGCCAGCCGTGGCCAGTGCTCAGCTCCTTGCACGCACTCCCCCAAGCAGTTGCAGCCCTGCGTCGTGTGCTCGCAGCTCTGCAGAGGTTTTTTCACGCACCAAGCACATTTTCTGAAAGCAGGACAGGATTTTTGTTTCCCCCTCAAAAAAGGAGGGCAGCTCCACCAGCCCTCCAGTTCTGCTCATTCCTTTGCTATTCTCAGCTTCAAAGCAAGCCACTTCTGACTCGATCATCAAGATCTGCAGAGCGAGTTCTAAAGCAGGAGGCAGGACAGGCAGAACGATGGCCATCCCACTGCAAACCAGGTATCAGGAATCCTACTGCTCACCTGCTCAGGCCGTTTGTCCCCTGACATGACAGCTCCATTCTGTCCAGGTACCGTCTCCTTTCCAAGCTCCTCTGTTTACAAATGTATTTCATTGTATTTGATGCTCCTGTGTTCTTCCGTACAGCCCACATTGTCTGCCCCCCCTTTCTTATGTTTCAAATAGGAGCTAATTAGGAAACTGACTTTTTCTTTTCAATGAAAAATTTTTCCACAGGAAAAATAGAGGAGCAGAAACTATTTCCAGTCTTCTCAGAACAAGCTAGATTTCCAAACCAGCAGCATCCCAGGTCAGAGGAAGAGAATGCCGATTAGCCCCAAAGAGAACTTATACTGCCATCCTGTCAGCAGTGCAGGCCTGCTCCCCAAAGGACATAGTCCACCATTCTGTACAACCTCACTCTTAGACTGTTTAAAATGCCAGCCCAGGAACCTTATATAATGTTATTTTCATTGTTTTACCCCTCAGTTAATACATTTCAACCTTTTAAGTATTTTCTCTCCTTTCTTCAATTCCTATCTACAAATGTTTGAAGGATGAAAAATGCTTACTCTTTCCTCTGTTGCTTATGGCATTTTGATAATACATATTTATTTTGAGTTTAATCACACCTCTCAAACCAAAACAGCCTGGTAATTTTATTTATTACTTCTCTCTGACCTTCCTAAGGCTTTTCAAAGATGGATTTCTGGTGCAGAATAAAATGTTTTGTCACTCCCCCACTCCTCAAATCACACTAACACGCAAAAATCATCTTTTATTACAAATGCATCCTTCATTTAATGTCTCAGGTTATCTGGAGATCTATCATTATTGTATTTGTCCAGGTTTCATCATCCCATGGAGCATCTGTATCTCAAATTATTTTTCTCTTGATATGATTATGGACATATTTCCCATCTGATTTTCTTTTTGTAATTTTAATTTCCTTTGATGCTTTAGAATTACTTTTTTCCCCTGTTTCCACTAACGTCACCAGAAAAGGACTCCTGATGAGATCTCTGCAGGTTTCACAGCATACTGATATCCTCCAAACCCAGAGGAGATTCTACCTCTTCTGCTATTCTACCAAATTTCAACATTTACACAACACTTCATATTTTCAAAAGCTAACACAGAACACACATAAATCCTGTTAATTTTCAAATACAGAACCTGAATACCTTCCCCTACTTCTAAACCACCACATAAGATTCTGCATTTAGGGGTGCTGCTTGTCACACTTCTCAGGAGGCATACAGAGAATGGAGAAACCCTCACATTTCCAGGTAAAGGAAAGTATTTTGTCTATGCAATCTTGACATACCTCACTGCATTGCCAGTCCCGCCTGTTTGAGCTCACGAAGATGTCTTAAATTTACTCAAATGCAACAAGAAACCCAGATAATCACGTCCAAGAGCAGTCACCTGCCCCAAACTTATACATGGATGCCAGCACAGGACTAGGAAAATCTGGGTGCAGCTCCCCACAGTAACTACTACCATCTTAAACTTCTGTGATGGTATGAAGTAAATTTTAATCCATGTTCAAGAGCAGACAGACACCTCTCTTGGCCACAATGCATCAGGTTGGCAGTCTCCAGGACGTGAGCGTAAGGGACATTTGGTTGCACAAATAATTCTGGCAGTTCCAAATTAACTGATTAGCTCTGCCAGTTTGTGCTGCCATGCACCAACCATGATAGCTGCCATCCCATGCTCAAACTGGGAAAGGCTGTTCAGTGCAAGTGAAACAGTGCAATAAACACACTCCTTTAAAAAAAAAAAAAAAAACCACCAAAAAAAACCCCCACACTTCGGTAGATACATGCTGACCTATAGTTCAAAGAAAAGCAGTAATTCCTGTGTTTTCTATTTCTTCTGATGCTCTGTTTCCACAGAAATCATTCACTCACATCAGGTAAGAATTCAAAGCAGCTGCCCCCTTGCAAAATGTTGATATCTGATTCATGAGCACCCAAGCCCTCAGGGCACAAGAAGAATATGGTTACCCATCTGGACTCTGCTTTCAGGCCCCTATTCTCAGCCCTACAAAGGTCCAGTCATGTGCTTGCAAGTGCCAACTTTCTTCCTTAAGTCAGGGGTTTGCCTACACAGATCAGCACAAACCCATCCCAAACTTTGTTTAAAAAACAAATGAACTAAAGAAGTGAAAAATCTCTAATGAGTATGCATTTTTAAGAGCTTATGCAGCTTTAAGTTAATTAATGAACTTTGCAGCTCCAAGCTAAGCGGAGGAAGGATGAGTAACTGATGAGTAACTGCACGTGGAGATACCTTGCAGAAGGGTGGGAGGTGGGGACGACAACTAAACAAGGAGCAACGTGGTTCAGCAAATGTGACACAGGATGAATTCTTTCAGCAGACAGCAGGTGGTGATCCAAGATCACGGCACTGGAGCGCCAAGAGCAAACACCAGAAATGCACACAAAGGCCTCCTGCTTCCATAAAACTGTCCAAGATCAGTCTGTTCTGTGAAGGAGTGGTTTTGTTTTCCTCATTATAGAAATGGGTGTAAGTAGAGGGATATAAAAGGAGCCTTATAGCAATGCAGCTCCAGATCTCTTCTATATTCCTATGTCATACTATGCAAAGATAGTAAAGCCTAACCAGCCAAATAAAAATTATACTCCTGGTAAAGCTAAACTAGTAAAATTTCTGTATGGACATGGCAAACTGCCACGAGGTAACTGGTCTGTGCTATCCATAACCCTACTGTGAGTCATCAGCACCACAGAAAGGTGCAGGGAAATGGTACAGCACATAAACATCAAACAATCTCTTAAAAATGCCTTTGAACTCTGCTAACCCCCAAATCACTGGGATGTGGGTATAAGCCTATTAGTGGAATGGGGTTTCTAACACATATGTCCTCACTGAACTAATTTTATGAATCCTCAAAGCAACTGACTTGCAGCTAACAGAGGCAATTAACCTGTTTGTGAAGACCAGAGTTCCAG